TTGGAAATAATTAGCGAGTGAAAATGGGAAAGTATCCTAAGCTGTTGCCTGTGCTATTAATCCTCTTCTGTTCCTCTCACTGCTCCAAAGTCAATTGACCGTGTTGCTATCACATTCTGCCAGGTTTCATATCAACAGCCTGGTGTTTGGTTTACAGACTAAATGGAAATGCTTTTCTCATGGTGACCTAGCTGGGAGAAAACCTCCCCAGTGAGTTAGGAGGACGCATTGATCTGCTCTCTGGCTGGCTCTGCGTCTGCCTGAGCTCCAGCCCACGCTGGCAGAGAGATGCCTGGAATTCTTAGAAAAGACAAGAATTGCCTACCTGAAGCTACATTTTAACTTACACACAGAGGTTAAAAGTTCATGAGTGTTTGTGAGGGCTGCAAAGGGAGGCCTGGAGGAGATGTATGCCTGGCTCCAGATGTTTCTGTAGCCCGGGGAAACCTGTGGCTTTTTTCTCCCCTCTTATTAAGACCTGATGTCTGCAAACTCTTTGCTCCCATACTTTTACAACAGGCTCTGTCACAATAGAGTCTCACTTTACACCACTGCTGGATACTTTAAACATAGGGTTTCACTAATGTGCCTGTGGTTCACATAATTTCCATCCAATATGAAAATCACCTGGCAATTTCAATTCAGGCTTTAGATAGGGAAATTAAACAATGGACTTAGTCTGTGCCTACTGATTACATGCAAAGCAATGACTTCACAAGGCACCATATACAGTATCCTACTGATAGGAGAACATTTCAATCAATCTGTTGAACTTTATCTGTATACCACCTTTCATAATAGGTTAGAGCAGTTCAAAATGCAGACAGTGAAAAAAAGAATAAAAGACAAAAACAGTATAAAAAACGTCACAATTGAAGACGTATTCAATCAAAAAAACTAGAATTGAACACCTTAATAACACGATAAAACAGCATGCAATAAAAACCGGATTAATAACAATAAAATAGAATTAAAATGTAAAAGATTGGATTTACTTATTCTCCGATTTAACTTTGCAGAAACAGTTTTGGTTTCCATTCCACACTGCTCTTTTGTCTTCAGTGAAATGTGTTTATTATCAAAGAGAAATCAATAATGGTTTGGAATGTCAACACAGATATAAAATGACAGTGACAGGACACTAAAACAGCAAAAACAAATGTGTTATTCTTTTTATAATGTTGTGTATTTGTGTATGTATGTACACATAAGGAATGTTCATTAGAATAAGGACACATTCTAAGAATCAGAGGAAACAAAGAAGGAAACACTTCTGCCTGACTAGAGGGGGCCAGCGCCCTCCTCTGGGCCTCATGATGAAGCTCAAATCATGATGTGACACGTCAAAGTCCTCCACTCCACATCAATCTCCACCCTTTGACTTCTGTGGTGTAGACACTATGTTCCCTTAAAAATAAATATAAAAAGTAAATTAGTATGCAAGCAACATACTTTCTGGAGGACAGGGTTGAACATGCAGATTGGTGTTAAATTCTGCCACAGTGTAAACTGTTTTTCTTGATAATGATCAAGTTCTAGCAGCATAACTTTCTTTCAGACCCACCAAGAACCAACACATACATAAGGCAGAGAGAGGACATTTTATTGTGTGTGTGAGTGTGTCGATGTCTGGGTAAACCCTGACATCAGACACACGCACACACATCAATTGGTTACTTTTTACTTGCATACCCTCTCCTGCTCCTGCAAACGTTTAATAGAGTACCAGATTTGGAATTAAACTAGTTTTAAACTTATAAACTACTAGACGAGCTGTTATAGGAAATAACTAAGCCTCATTAAAATGTTATATCACACTAGTGAAACTCTATATATTTGAGCTGTCTATAAAGACTCATGCCACAGACAGTTTGGCTCAGAGCCACAGACAGTGTTTCTTTTCCATCTGGAGCTGTGGTTGGAGATGTGGTTGGCTGCTGAACTCTGTTTATAGAAAGCTCTGGCTGTGCTAAAACATCCAACCAACAGAACATGACGAGGCCAAAACTAGGTCCCAGCTCTTCCTTTTTAGGATTTTCTTTGCTATTGAAGGCTGATATACCTTAGTCTGCTGGTCTGATATGCTAACACGCAACTTCCATTGTGCTGAGGTGGGGGATTTGTCATTTTCACAACAGCTGGAGTTGGTTGGGCTGCACATGATGAGGCTGTTTCTACAAAACCCAAAACCTGTTCAATGTGAGTCTGTAACCTTTGACCTAGGGGTTAATAGGCCAGGGAAAATGAGTCAAAAAGTCTCCTGAAGGCAGAAATGTTATATGGTTGGGTTCAAACTAGCAAGCTCATCTGCCCCAATGGCAAACTAAAACCTAACTGGCCATAGTGACAGCGGCTGATCAAAGCCCACCATGGGAAATCAGCAGCTCAAATAAGTGTTATCTCTGGAAGTCAGTCTTTGAGGCTGGAACACCATGTTTGAAACCACAAGAGAAGCTCATGTCATTACAGAGACGTAAAGTTACAACCTGGACATCCTTTGTGTCAACCAGAAGTTGAGGGATTGGCTCTGGTCACAAAGCATCTCCAACATTTAAAACGTTCTTTAGTTAAGGAAGATGAAGTTCACTTCACATGCCACATCACTCCGATCCTTTCTGCCCTGCACTGGCTCCCTGTCCATCTCAGAACCCAATTCAAAGTATTGGTCTTCACATATAGAGCTGTCCATGGCCAAGCCCCAGCCTACATCAATGACCTGATCCACCCTCAGAGCACAACCCGGGCCCTGAGGTCCTCTGAGCAAGGCCTCCTAAGGGTGCCCCGAACCAGGCTAAAAACTAAGGGGGACCGTGCCTTTGAGGTGGTGGCCCCAAGGCTTTGGAACAAACTCCCCCAGATAATAAAAACCTCTGCCTCAATAGAGATGTTTAAGGGGCAGTTAAAGACCCACCTCTTCCGACAGGCCTTTTGGTCGTCGGAGGAGGTGAGTTAGTGGCTGTCTTTTATTGGTGTTTTATCGTATGTTTTATCCTATGTATTACCTGCTGCTGTTTTATGCCTTTTATTCTACATTTTATAGTTGTACTTTGAATTGTGTCCTGTGTACTGTACTGTAAAGCACTTTGTACATCCGTGTTGAGAAGGGTGCTATATAAATAAAGTTGTACTTACTTACTTACTTACTTCTGTAATGGGAACCCATCAGTGACCGACTCATCAGGAAGATTAGCAAATTGGACTCAAATTCTTGCAAGCTCATCATACTACTATGCTATGCCCCAATATATGACTCTGAGGGACAAAAGTACAGGCAGGCCGAAAACAGACATGAAATGCAATGCACAAGACCACAGTGAGTGTCAGGGTCCAATCCCTGGCACTAAAACAGCAACAACTTGTGCATTGCATTTCATGTCTGTTTTCATACAACGAACTGGAGTTTCCCTCATCCAAGGCATTTTACAGCAAACTCTACCATCCCAACCTTAGTCACAGTTACTGATGGGCTATACCAAATGTCCAGAAAGTCCATTCTGAATTATCCTCAGTAAGCCACAGACCTGTTCCCGAGCAGTCTTTAAGACATGAGGCTGCCAAAAGACAAACTGTTAGACATTGTATACTTCAGTAACTGAACAGACACCTTGAACCAGAAAGGCAGAACAAATTACTAAAAATTCCCCTTTCTCATAAAAAAAACCCTAAAACTGACATAAGCTCCTTCCCAGATTTGTTGCAAACAAGAAGATGCAGTATGCAATTTTGACCATAGTTACCTCAAAGCTAAGACTGAAAGTACCCAGAATGGTTAAGAAGCAATTTAACAGATTGTTTATTTTACATAAATGGGGCGAAGCCTGCGAGCTAGTTCAGGCAGTCAACTCGAGCACCAATCATACATTAACACGTGACGCACCTCGTCCCTCTTACAACCAACCAAACACATTCTCCTAAACATGCCGCTCTATTTAAGCTGCCAGGTCTTCCTGCCTCTGCCTCGCTCATGCTGCTGCTGCCACTGCTGTGTTCACTTGCTATTGCTGCGTTCATGTTCATGTTCCTGCTGCTGTGTTTCATGTTGCTGCTGCTCGCCTGCCCCACCACCCCCCCCAGCTTCCACCCCAGCTTCCACCTGTAGGCTCGGGGATAGTTATCTAATCATCACTCAATGTTCTTTGTAAATCTGTGGAGTGATGAGGCCCGAGCCTAGACGCCAAACTCAAACTATATGCTGCTTCTAATAAACATATTAAGAAACACGTGAGTTGTCTGACTGAACTAGTGAAGTTTGTGTAATTATAAAACTAAATGTTACCAAACCAAACAAGGTAGGAGCCATGTGAGGAAGGACTAAGAAGCTATACATCTTTTTCTTTTTCGTATTTGAGAATAAGAACAAACAATTCCTGCTCGTAAACACAGTTGCAATAGATGGTTATTGTGGATATAGCTAATTCCAAAACTTTAATTGAATTGGCATTAACATTTCAAAAGCTTTGTCAGTGAAAATAAATAAATAAATGTAAAAAAATGTAACTTGAATGCTCATGGTGAGTGAGCATTTTCCACAGAGCATTCAAGAGTGCCTGATGTAGGTGCTCAACAAGAGCTATAATGTGTATCTCCTAAATTGTGGATCTGTACAGAAGTAGTTCCATTTTGTGCAGATGCTTGACACATTTATTATAACTTCTGACCAGTAAATAGCTCTAAAGAACAACATTGTAGCTTGTAATAAATAATGTTAGTGTTATCATTTAAAAAAAGATACTTGAATTGTTCAGGTTACAATCTTTCAGGAACTGTATTCACTAAAGGTTAAATGAAACAAAATACAAATAAAACACATTTAAGGAACAGCTCTTTGTTTATTTGAGGCAAAGTGCTTCTAAGTGTAGTGATCCAAAAAAAACGATAATAAGTATTGTAGAAAATCATGAAAGAGAAATGTTATAATATAAATGTCTATTGTGTGTGTGTGTGTGTGTGTGTGTGTGTGTGTGTGTGTGTGTGTGTGTGTGTGTGTGTGCTTCCTGCAGGTGTGTGAGGAGGGGGCTGTGCAGCAGGCGGCACTCTCTGTGGATTCTACTCATCCTGCTCGTGGTCTGCATCGCCATTCAGACCTTTGTTGCCCGCCAGGCCAGGTAAAGTATGTAGCCAACCCCCCCACCATTACTGCTGTGCACATTATATATTCACATGGCTGACTGAAATAATAATACATCTCAAATATCATGTCCTCTGTATCATTATGGAGATTTAAACCCATGGGTCATGAATATGACTAAAGCTTGGAAATGTGATCCCAATATTTTCAGGCCAATACATTCTTGCAAAAATATGTTTTCATTTCCAGGAAAGTATACTTTTATAAATCTATATATAAGACAAATGTGTTACTACCACATTATCTAATAATGTAAAATATAACATCAGAACATGTTGGTGGGAAAAAATCCTTCTATGACTAATTATCCTCATTTTACAGTTTTAAAGCTAATTTCTTTACACCAAGAAATCCCAGGAATCTTATGGGTGATAAATGAAGGGCAAGTCAGGATACTGGGTTTATGATATATCACCTTTAAGTGTTTGCAAACATTTTTACAATTTACATAGCAACCTAGCAATATAAAATGTTAATTTGACAGTGTAATGAGTATTTGTGAACCTGATAAATGTTGTAAAATATTTTAATGACTTCTCACAGGAATGACAAGCTGACAGGACTCCCACATCTGAGATTCACTGTCAACAAACAGCACCTGTTTCCTACAGTGCAAAATGCCTGGGAAAGCATCCAATCACTTACTGCAAAGAGGGACGTGAAGTCACCTCAGACAGACAGAACTGCAGATGTTCATCAACAGAATGAGGGATACCGAAAACAACTGGATTATATTCTGTCAAAACATGTGGACAACCTTGCTATAGACTCTCAGACGAAGGCAAGGAAAGTCTCTGCTGGGAAGCCTCTTCTACCAAAACACGGAGCAAGCCTTGGACTTCAGGTTCCTCTGGCCCTCAACAGCACTAGGAAAAGTTTGATTCCCAATCCGCCTAGTCTTTTAAAGGCTCACATCAACAGTGTCCCTACTAAAGAAACCTGCCACCCAAAGTCTCACATTGTTTTCCTGAAGACACACAAAACAGCAAGCAGCACCATCTTAAACATACTGTATCGCTATGGAGAAAGCAGGAACTTGACTTTTGCTCTCCCTCTGAACAAACACAGCCAGCTGTTTTACCCGTTCTCCTTTGCTTCACATTTTGTGGAAGGTGTCAGCAGCCGAAGTTTGAGGGAGTTTCACATTATGTGCAACCACATGAGGTTCAGAAAATATGAGGTGAGTGTCATCAGAAAACCAATCAAGTTCAGTTGTGGAACTGTTTTCATGCCTGAGCTGTACTGTACAGATGTTTATATGTCTAAATGGACTCCTGTGGGCTGTATGTGGAAAAGACTTAGGGGTAAATGTGGGTACTGTGGTGATGGATATTTTGCGTGGGTCTAGAATCATTTTAAATGTATGTACCATTTATATAATGATGGTATATAATGGATGGTCAATAATGACAAAGGAAAAACCCAGAAGTAATCTTTCCCTTTGAGACCCACCATTGGTGAATGGATGTTATTTAGGCAAGCCCGGTAAATCTTACCCACTTTGGCCCCAGTAGCTATGGTGGGTTTAGAGTTTGGCAAAATAATATTTACCAGTTTCTTGAGATATAATTTCTCTTAACTATAAAAAAAAGCTATGGTTGGTAATAAGCTTAAGAAGCTACCAAGAGTACAGTGGATTTTGAAATGATTCCAACTTAAGAAGCCCAGCCCAGTGTCATAAAACCTTTTCCAATTAAAGTAGCTGGAACCACTAGCTCCAATAGTAGCTAAATTTAGAGACACATTTTCCCAAAATTGGCGTCACTGTTCAGCTCAAAACAGCCGCTACCCCCAGTTCCCCTCATAAGAAACCTAAATGAACGTAAACACCAAACACTGTTGTGTGTTGTACTCACAGCTGTCAAGCTAGCAGCTTCTAGACTCCACTGAAACCCACTAAGGGCACAGGCCAAATTAAATGATTCAACATACTTATTAAAGTCCTGCAACGGCCACAGATACCAAGAGTATCATTTAAAGACTACTTTCAGGATATAGAGAGAGATTTAAATTGTACAATTAAAATGCTTTGGGAGAAGAAGACCAAACCTAATTCTTCTTGAATTTTTCAGCACTCTAAACATCTTCCTATATTTTGTCCCAGGTTGCCAAAGTGATGCCTAGGGATACCTTCTACTTTTCCATCCTGAGGAACCCTGTGGCCATGATGGAGTCCATCTTCATCTATTACAGAAGCATCCCAGCCTTCCACAAGACTCACAGCTTGGACAACTTCCTCGACAACAGTTGGAAAAACTACAACTCATCGGTGACCAACAACCACTACGCTCACAATATCTTGGCTTTTGACTTTGGCTTCGACAACAATGTTGCACCTGGTGCTGATGACCTGGAGGAGAGAACCAGCATGGCCATTGCAGCCATTGAACGAGACTTCCACCTTATTCTCATCTCTGAATACTTTGATGAGTCCATGATCCTGCTCAAGCATGCCCTCTGCTGGTCCCTAGAAGATGTTGTTTCTTTTAAGCTCAACAGTCGCAGCGAAAAATCCCGTCACCCACTTTTACCAGAAACTGCAGAGAAAATAAAGAGGTGGAATGCTTTGGACTGGAGGATCTACCTGCACTTTAACACCTCATTCTGGCTCAAAGTGGATAGTCTTGTTGGGCAAGAGCAGATGAAGAGAGAAGTCTCTCAGTTGAGAGAGCTACAGACTAAGCTGGCAAACAGCTGCCTGAAAGATGGGGGGGCAGTTGACCCGTCCAAGATAAAAGACGTGGGGCTAAAGCCCTTCCAGTATGGAGCAGCTGTAATTCAGGGATATAACTTAAACCCAGACTTAGACACACAGACCAAAATTAAATGTCAAAGACTTATAACTCCAGAACTGCAGTACACAGACCGTTTATACACCCAGCAGTTCCCAGAGCTGGCCGCTAAGCATAAACAAGAAACTAAGGGGGTGTCTCCACGGCGACAGCGCTCTGACAGGACTGGTATGATTGGAAGAGCCTGGGCAAGGGACGCCCATTACAGACAGATGATGAGACGCAAATTCTCTAATCTAAAGAACCAAAAGGCCTTGACAAGTGCCCTGTTACCACACACTGACGCTAACAACAATACAAGTATGCCATGATTGGTCACTGCGACTAATTGTCATGGTAAATGTTTGTTTAATGGAAGCAGCTGTTTTGTCTCATACTATATTTCTAGAATTACCCTGGCATGGTATTATCCATCATATCCAACAAAATGAAAATGTTAAGATGGACCAAACAAAATATTGTTTTGCATTTGTTATAGCCTTACAAATACTGAAGCTAAAAATGTAAAGGTGTTCTTTAAGGTGATGATACGGGACTTTTTAAATGTGTTAAGTTAAATTAAGTACATTTTAGTTAGGTTATACTTACGTTTATTGTATAACCTGCTAACTAACAGTTCAAATCTATGATAAAAGCAATCAACTTTTACCAGTTGCTCTTTCCATCTCAAGTAAATATAATATCCCTTATTCTCTTGTCTATTCCAAATAATGGTAACTGTCCAGCCTAATCAGTCATTTGACCAACTATCATAAAAAGGAAAACACCATTATTCTCCTATCAGCAATAAATCATTGCACAACAATATCTTACAGTACCAGAAACTAAGCGGGTGGTGGGGGGGAATATAATGTTTTTTGCTAGTGCTAATAAAGGTAGCGCTAGTTGTTTTTATACTATCCCAACCAATAGATCCATAGTATTGCCTTAAACCCACCCATGATATAATCCCTTGGTTTAAACGTCACCCTTCCCACAGAGCGGATAACATCAACAGCACACTTGGCAGACTACAGTAAAATAGCAATGCAGGAATTATTAAATTATTTTATCAATAACAACAATATGAGGCTATAATGTGTTTAGTCATTTCACTTCTGCCAGTCAACACACATTTCTTATTACATTTAACTTTAAGACATTTATCAGTTAGATAAGTCTGTGCAGTTAACTCTTCAACTGTTTCATGTCTGAGGACTGTTTACATGTTGTTAAATGTGTCAACGCACCAGATGTTGAAACAGCTGTTTCTACCAGCCTCCCTCTGCAGATTTTGACAGAGAGTTGTTCAGGAATTCACAACATATCTGACATCGTAAGATTTCATGATAAATAAAAGTATTCCGATTATGAAAGAGTAACTATACGTTATTACAGGCTGCAATGTGGAATGGTTGGACATAACAGTTCTCTATCCCTACTACCTAACGTTAGCATTCTACTTAGCAAGCTAACAAAAGTGAGCTATCTGAACAAACTAGCTTTAGTTCCCTACCTATCTAACAAGCTAGCTGAGGAAATGTTAGCTATGTTTCAAAATAGGTAGCTAACGTTAGCATTCTACTTAACAAGCTATCTTACAAAAGTGAGCTAACGGAACAAAGTAGCTTAAGTTTGCTGACCTAACCAGTCTTTTTGTGAAAACGGGTAAAATGATCTGCGGATACAAATATGTGATGCATAATAATACAGGGTTTGGACCAGGTGCATGTCATAAGACTGGCAGTTTCACGCAAGCTGATGCACTATTTACCAGTTGTCAGAATATTAAGTTAAAGCCAGCAGTCTAAATGCTGCTAACATGTTCAGATGCACCACGCATTAGTCTCTGTGAGACCAGGAGCACAGCCTGGTGATGTGCAGAAGAATCCTCTGGGGATATTGTGGGGGAGGATCAGGTTCAGGCCTCCAGCCTTCAGTCCTCCTCAGGCTTAGACCTTCCAAGAAGGCAGAGTCTGATGTGGAGCTGATTCATAAAGAGGGAATGTTATTTTTGTGGTCTACTCATTGGTGGTCTATATTTGATTTCACTTCTTGGTTTTGTTTCCAATGGTGCAGAATAAATGATTGTACTGAAACCGTTTCTATAGATCCTTCTTGTTAATGTTTTATATACCGAGTGTGATATTCAGAGGGATATGAGAAGGAACCTTACTAGATTTATGGTGGAAGCGTCCATTTAGTGTCACTGTCACACTGTAGCCTTTAAAACATTACCCTAAAATGTTTACTTTGTGTTAAGCTAAAGTGGATTCCCAAAGAGACTAATCCTATAGTGAAGGAAAAATAAAGGTTGTGTCGAAACATCCATCTGTAGGCTAAATTAACAAAAGATAGAGAATAAAGAAAAAATAAAAAGACAACGAAACCGGAATCTGAATCAAAACCACACCCAATATTAGACACATTATGGCTGTGTTTTTGCTGCTTTAAATTATCCTGTTTCCTGTTTTATAATGTGAAAACTTTATCTTTTTATTAACATATATTCTGGTAAGAAACCATATTATTCATTTTTCCTAGTTATGATAATGTTATTTGATCTTGTTAAATCAGTATAATCAGAACTCAATCAATATAACGCAATCTGTTGATCTAATAAAAGGTTTCTCATTAAAAACAGGTTATTTGTTATTTACTCATATTTTCATTTATGAGCCAGGTTTTTCTTTGTTCCAATAAGTGCAGTAATGCATACAAAACAGTATTTAAACTCTTACAGTGTTAAGACATTGTATACAATTGTCCAGGTCCCTTTTTATCCAAATCAGTTCTCATATTCTAAAATGACTAGGAGGTTAGGAGAATTCAAAAGGACTTGAGATGAGTCATTTGCCCCCGTCATGTCCCCACCACTTTTTAAAAGTATAACTTATAAATGTTCTGAAAAATAGTGTGCACACAGAAATGTAATAAACAAGAACACTGGCTTAGAGTCGAGATGTGCAATTTGGACACATCAGTAAACTTTTAATAGAAAAAACATTTCTCCCGCTGTGCAGCAGCTGAGGAGACAACACATTCTCACTCCCAACTCGGTCTATGTTGACGTTATGTCAGGGTCCCTGTCGTCACTTTCCAACGCAAGGGGGGGCCCTTTAACGTTGACTTGCATAGAGCTCCCTGAACGTTGGTAATAGACGAGTTGGGATCGCGGCAAAATGCTCTCCGCAGATCCATTCTCACAGCGTTTATCAACCTTTTTCTAACTCAATATCAAGCCACACTTATTGTGTTTACTTCTTTATTTTAATTGAATAATGTCTGACTTTTGTTGCCGTCAGTTAGGGGGAGAGTAGGGGCTCAGAAAACTGAAATCTGTATTGTTTCATCGTTTTTTCCTTCTAATTTTGTATTCTTTTCTAAACCACACACTGTTATTTACTCAACAATAAGACACAATTATCCTTGTGTTTATTTATTTGTTTGATTGTATAATGTCAGACTTTTGGAGTCCGTCAGGAGTCAGGACCGAGGGTCGGAGCAGCTCATAGTAGTTGCTTTAAAGAATTGTACACCCGGAAGTAAGTATTCTCTCCGCTTTGCTTGACAAACCCCGTGATTAGTCCTCAAGCTCTGTGATTGGATGTTTGAGTGGCAGTGCACCAAGGGTTACGCCGAGCATCAAACAGCACTTTGAAATGGGATGGAACCACGGCAGACTATCCAAAACTGGATTCGAATGGGTCCACCACCCCCCTCCCCCACCCCGTCCCCAGAACTACACACGCTGGCTATTGTGTGTTTCGCAACATGTTCTATGGCACGTCTCTACTGGGAATTGTAGTTTTAAAAGATGTTTTCGTATTTCCCATAATAAGAAGTTGCCAGTATTAAACTGTGTACATCCCTGGAGGTTTAGGGGATAGGAAACACTCAAATTTAAAACATATCATTAATAAATGGGTGAAAATAGTTTGTGTCCATAATTGGCAGCTTTAATATATACCCACATGACAGCTAAGGTCAGAAGAGCTTTATTTAACAGCTGGTCTTATCTCTGTGACCCCTAATTGATAAGCCTTGAAACATGCACTTGTCAAGGTTAAGAGGCACATTTAGCAAATATGGCAGTAGCCATCGATCATCTTAAGATAAGATATATTTTATTGATCCCAAGTTGGACATTTTTTCGTTACAGTAGCATGTGTAACAGTTGTAAATATGCAGTGGTGTTTATTTGTAAACCATTTAGTATAATCACACACTTTGTCAGGCTTAATATTTATCTGTAGATACCCCCAAAGCTTTTTTCTTATTCAAAAGAAGACCTCAATCTAAAGTATTATTTAATGTTTGAATAAAGCCTAATTAGTTTGTCTGTTTTGCACATCCTCCTGTTAATATCTTTGGACATCCGGCACTAAACTGTTTTCTTGTAGAGATCACTTACAGTATCTTATTGATATTTTCTATTCTATATTTCTATCATTGACCTTCTACTTTCCCCCTATGAAAGTATGTACTCTTAATATTTTTATGTTTTCATCAAATATAAGGTATCAACAAAAAAATGCAATAACGTGCTTTAACCACTAGGCGGTTAAAGCACTCAGGTTTACAGTGTTAACACAATCAAATATACTGCTGTTTCCAGTTTAGTTTATGATGGATGTATTTTGTTATCCACACATATATTGTTTTTATATTTGTAACACCAAACCGACAGAAAAGATGGTCTTAACCCTTAAGAGTCCCTGGGGCAATTTTTCAGCCATTCGGGTTTTCATGTTCATGCCACATGGCTGTGTTGAATGAATATTGCTCAAACTTGCCAGAGGATATTCTTTTTTAGTTGTATATTGAATTGTGGTCTCAGTTTTTTAAATTAGCCTAAAATGGCTAAGCTACACAAAAACCGACACATTTGTTTCTAGCGGCAAAAAATGCCCCATTGAAAACCATTGAAAATGCTTTTTTTGACCCCACATTTATCTTATCATAAACTCTTGATTTCCTTTATGTTAAGATTTCATTTTGGACTTCTAGCTTTCAATTTTCAATTTTTACATTTGTCTACAAGATGGCGATAATTGTAACCCTTTGAAGCCTGCAGCAAAATGTCACACTTTTTACTGTTTTCTGCAAGGGTCACTTGCTACTGAAATGATATGTGTGTGTCGCTTTTGATGTTGGATAATGGTATGTGTGTGTGTGTGTGTGTGTGTGTGTGTGTGTGTGTGTGTGTGTGTGTGTGTGTGTGTGTGCGTGTGCGTGTGCGTGTTTGTGTGTGTGCGTGTTTGTGTGTGTGTGCGTGTGTCCAACTTCAAAAGACTTTTCTCTTAGAAGGCCACACTGCGTAATAATCTAATTCAATAATAAAAACAATGAGTTGCGAGAACCAAAACAAAATTGGACTTTGTTTTGGTTCTCGCTCAGGTTGTTTATACAGGTGCACTGCAGCCATGGTTATAAGTATTACTATTAGTGCAGGAGTAGTCTTTTTGGAGATGGCAAGGCATTACAGCACACAGGAGGCTCTGGACATCATCATGCACTCTGATTGCGAGGATGGCTCCTCATCCTCC